CCTCCTCCTCCTCCTTCTCCTCCTCTTCCTCCTCCTCCTCCTCCTCCTCCTCGCTCTCTTCAGCCGCCGCTCCAGCCTCAGCAGCCGCAGCCGCGTCGGCGTACTCGTGGTTCTCTTGAACCACCAGTCCGCCCGTGTTGGCGAGACGCTCACGACACATCAGCACGTGCAACTTGATGGTGGGCGTAGCGAATCCCGTGTTCCACTCGCCGGAGCCGATCATCGTGGACGGGCAGTGGCGGAATTTCATCCAGATACCCCCCAAGGCAGGATTGAAGATGAAGTCGCCCCCCTCGAGGATGTCGTCCATCTGGCGCAGGACGTCGCGCTTCTGTTCGAGGTTGTCGACCCACCGAAGACTATCTTAGCCACCCATGGCATTCGAATCGATATGGTCGTCCAGCCTCGCAGGCGGTGCCCGCGCCTCATGATGCGATTCAACCCAACATCCCCCCCGCAACCAGCGACAAATCCATCTTGGTTCTTCGCATCCGCTGGAGCTGTGATGTCAATCTAGTTTTCAACGCCTCGATGGTGAGCTTCCAGGGTCCATGGGTGAAGGTGACCCCCGGCAGCCCTGTGACCCCCGCCGCATCCTCGACGATAGCTGTTACCATCACGAGGTCACCGTCCCACCACATCTTGACCAGGCGCGGGTCGCTACGCATGGCTCTCCAGCCTGCGGCCAGAGGCATGGCCATCGCTCGCCAGCAGCGGCCTGGAGCACATTAGTTTCACACGCCCAACGTTGTTGGACACGGCAGGGGTAACGGGGCGGGCCGCGGGGGCAGAGGCGGAAGAAAGCTTGCGACGGCCGACTTTGAAGCACCCGGTGCTTGCCCCAGCATTGTCGGAGCCAGGCGCGCTCATTCCGGGGGCGACCACGCTGTTGGATGGATCACCATCGAGGTCGATCGGCTGACCCCCAGAGGCAGCCACCGTTGCTGGTGCTGGTGCCGCTGGTGCTGGTGCCGCTGCTGATGGTGTCGCTGCTGCTGCTGCTGCTGCTGCTGCTGCTGCCGCCGCTGCTGCCGCCGCCACCGCCGCCGCCGCTGTAAAGAGTTTNCTGATGGTGCCGCTGCTGATGGTGCCGCTGCTGCTGCTGCTGCTGCTGCTGCCGCCGCTGCTGCTGCCGCCGCTGCCGCCGCTGCTGCCGCCGCCACCGCCGCCGCCGCTGTAAAGAGTTTGTCCTCTTCAGCGTCGACGATTGCTGCGGCTTCCACCAAGACCTCCGGGAGAGGGGGCGGTGCGCGTTTGGCACCCCTGGTAGCTGTTCCCTTAAGCTTGAAGGTGAGCTTCCTCCCCGGCGGCTTGTCGTGTACTTTCATCGACGTTGAGATTACTTCACGGCCGCCGCGGCCGCCCGCCTGTCTATGAGCGCCGACTGTTGCACCCACAACCGCCGCCGGCAGGAAAAAACAACACACGCTCAGTACGCCACCTCTCCTCTCTCTTTTGGACATCGGGCAGGGACGCTCTCCCGCGATTTCATAAAACACTTGCCCCCTCCCTGTCAAGAACATCGCATCGTCAGATCAGTCACCACCACTGCCACTACCGTGGTTGAAGCTGGGGCGAAAAACGAGAAAAAAAATACTGTACAGTATTGGCTCGTGTCAAAAAAGGATTGCACAGTCACTCCACGGCCACGGCCTCCACGTCTTCCACCACCACAAGCTACCGGTGGTGCATTGTGGAGCAGAGAGACCAGGCCGCACCTGTCGCGGGCAGGAGCAACGGGTGGCGGGCCTGGAGGGGTCACCTACAAGCGCCAGGTCGTCTTCATCATGGGATTTAGGATTCCTTCGTATCTCGTTCCCGTCCTCGCCGGGACCGGGGCGTAAGTGGTTTGATTCACATCCCCTCGGGGTGAGATCCCACCCTCAAGAATGTTCAAACTTGAGCGGAAAAGGTGCTGCGGAGAGGAATGGTCCATACGTCGAGGCTTGGCGCGTGGCGTTTGTTGACGTAGAGGGCGGTGGTCAAAGACAGCTAGTTGTCTCGGTAGCCGACGGGACCTGGCGAGTGATTCTTTTCTGGGCAACGGCTCGCAGGAAAATCGAAGTCGACACCCAGGGCATCCCGTTCTCTCTCGTGAACCTCCAGGTCCGATCTGGCATTGACTCACAGAGTCCGCGTTTCAGACAACAAA